ATACAGGCTGGTTGGGTCTGGCTGCTCCACTTCCAGTCCAGCTCCAGGCTAATAGCCTGGGAAAGTCTTGGGCCTCTGCACTCATGTGGAAGACTAGGAAGAAGATCCTGGTTCCTGGCTTCCAATCAGCCCAGTTCTGGCTGTTGTGCCACCCAGGGATTGAGCCAGGGAATGGAATATCTCCTTCTCTGTAACTCTGCCTTACAACGAAATAAACAAACCTTAAAAAAAAAAAAAAAAAAAAAAAAAGGCAGGCTCCTAAATCCCAATACTGAGAGCACTGACTAGGTGTGACACTGTACGTTCTTAGGGCATTAGGATATAGCACTCAGATAAAGCCCAAACATTTGTCTCGGGCTGTTGGAGACGTGTTCCCTGGCAGGGTGCAGCTAATACCTGCTTCCCATAATAAGCAGATAGCTCTGCTTCCTGTATTTCCCGCATTAAAAAGTGGGTACAGACTTCAGGGGTAAACTAGTTTTGTGAGACAGAAGTGAGAAACACAGCGTGTTCCCCACTTGGGAACAGCTGTTTGTCCTACTCCCAAATCGCAGGCTGCTCTATGGCCCTGGCTTCACCTTTCAGGCGCTGGTCCATGCAAATCCTGCTTGTCGGCCCACTCTCCAGGAGTCCGACCTGGTGCTTTTCTTTTTTAAAGATTTTACTTATTTTTCTTGGAAAGGCAGATTTACGGAGAAGGAGAGACAGGAAGATCTTCCATCCGCTCCCCAAGTGGCTGCAACTGAGCTGAACTGAAGCCAGGAGCTCTTCCCGGTCTCCCATGTGGGTGCAGCGTCCCAGGCCTTGGGCCGTCCTCTACTGCTTTCTCAGGGCACAAGCAGGAAGCTGGATTGGAAGCGGGGTAGCTGGGATTAGAACCAGCATCCACACTGACCTGGTGTTTTTCAAAGTATTGTTCATAAGTCACTATTAGGCTGGCAAATCAGTGTGGTGGCTCACAGGCAGACTTTTTAAAATGCCAGTCATAAGACTAAATATCACAAAAGGTCATATTACAAAGACAGAATGTAGACAATATGTCATCTAAAAAAAAGAAAAAGAAAAACCCACAGAGATAGGCATTGTGGCCTGAAACCCCAAATGGCAGTCCCGGCTAAGCTGCTTCTGATGTAGCTTCCTGGAAATGCCTAGAAGGTAATAGAGGATGATGTAATTCCTCTCTGCCACTCACACAGGCGATCCAGTGGAGTTCTAGGCTCCTGATTCCAGCATCAGGGAGTGAGCCAACAGCTGGTAAAGGACACTTCTCTCCGTACTGCTCCTTCTTGTCTTTTTTTAAACATGTATATTTTTAATTTATTTTACAGGGAGAATTATATATATATATAGAGAGAGAGAGAAGAGGAGGGAGAAGTAGATAGTGAAATCTTTCATCTGCTGGTTCACTCTCCAAATGGCTGAAACAGCCAGCACTGGGCCAGGCCAAACTGGAGTCAGGAGCCAGCAGCTTTTTCCAGATGTCTCACATGGGTGCAGAGACCCAAACACTTGGGTCATTATCTGCTGCTTTTCCAGGCACATTAACAGGACACTGGGTTAGAAGTGGAGCAGCTGGGACTTGAACCGGCACTCATGTGGGATGCAAGCATTGAAGGTGGTGGTTTCATCCACTGACCCACAGCACCAGCCACTCTTTCAAAGAAAGAAAGATATAAGCACTCAAAATATACATACACCAAAAGAAAAAAACACTTGGTATTTGTGTTTTTATACACAGACACACACACACACACACACACGTCTTTAAAAATGAAGGAAGCTATACTTTAAGCACGATTACCTTAGAAGAGTGGGATTTAAGGAGACCAAGCAGAAAAAGAGGCTCCACTTACTTATTCCAATCAATTCACTGATTTAAGAAGTCTTTTCTAGCTTATCTAGTTATGATCCCTTTACTAATTTTCTCACTACCTTACCACTAAAACAACAAACAACATACTCTAATTGTGTTGAATGTTTACTGTACTAAGCCCCCGAGAAACGATAGAAACACCACAGAGCACACACCTTGTAAGAGTTTGGCCTACCTAGTGAGAAAGGAGAACATTATGAATAATGTGGTAGAGTGGCTAGGAAGTTTCTTTGTCTCTTTTTAAAGAATTATTTGTGGGCCCAGTGTGGTAGCCTAGTGGCTAAAGTCCTTGCCTTGCACCACCTGAATTTCCCCATGAGGGCCCCAGTTCATATCCTGGCACCCCACTTCCCTTCCAGCTCCCTGCTTGTGACCTGGGAAAGCAGTCGAGGACGGCCCAAAGCCTTGGGACCCTGCACCCACAATGGAGACCTGGAAGAAGTTCCTGGCTCCTGACTTCAGATTGGCACAGCTCTGGCCATTGAGCCACTTGGGGAGTGAATCAACAGACAGAAGATCTTTCTCTCTGTCTCTCCTCCTGTCTGTATATCTGACTTTCCAATAGAAATAAATAAATTTTCAAAAAAAGAGAATTATTTGTGTTTATTTACTTGAAAGGCAGAAAGAGGAAGAGAGATCTTCCATTCTCTGGCCATTACCCAAATGCCAGCCACAGTTTGGGCTGGGCCAGAAGCTAGGAGCCATTACCTGTGCCTTGCCCGTGAACACTCTCAGGTAGGTGGCTCAGAAGTGGAGCAGCCAGGCCTCCAATCAGCAGGCCAACAAGGGACTGCCACAAACAACCCCAGGTAGAAGTCAGACAGGAAGGTAACTAGGATGAGAGACTGGGATGGGAAGTGGGGGAGCATTTCAGCCACGATTTGTTGCCAGGAAACCTTGCCGCAGGTAAGAAACAGCATGTACAGATAGACGTACAGAGAGCAGAGACGGGAAGACGCTGGAAGGCTGGGCAGAAGCAGACTGCAGAGAAAGTCTACAGAGGCTAGACAGAGGGCGGCCTGAAGCATCCATGACTGGAAGCTGGAGTTCTAGGTCACACACACACACACACACACACCCTCTCTCTCTCTCTCTCCCTTCCAAAAGAACAAGTGTCTTCTCCTTGTGGAGGCTCCCTAGGTCCTAATTCCATCTCTGCCATCAAGTCCATCACAGCTGGGAGGAGGGGTGGAGACACTACATCCCAAGCAGTGCCTTACAACCTTCAGGGACCCCTTCCCAAACTACACCCCAGTGCCCTGGCAGCACTTTTCAAACTTCTTTCAAGGACCTAACAGAGTTTCCTTCCTTTTTTTTTTTTTTCTTACTGCAAAAAGGCCTGAAAAAGAATAGTTCTGCAGTTCTCAATTCGTTGTCCTTGGAAAAACATGGCTTACGATAACTCTGAGCCAGGGCCAGGGCCGTGCAGCTGCTCAGCTGTTGGCTGTGATGCAGGCATCTCATCGCAGAGCCCCAGTTCAAGTCCTGGCTGCTCCACTTCTGATCTAGCTTCCTGCTCCTGCACCTGGGAAAGCAGCAGCAGACGGCCCAAGTGCTCGGGCCTCTGCTGTGCACACAAGAGAACCGGAGAGAGTTCCAGGTGCCTGGCTTTGACCTGGCCCAGCCCCAGCCACTGCAGCCACTTGGGAGAGTTAACCAGCAGAGTATTTCTCTGTCTCTTCCTCTCTCTACCACTCTGCCTGTCAAGTAAATCAATCTTAAAAAGAAAAATAACTCAGGGCTGGCGCTGTGGTGCTGAGGCAACAGCATTCCATACGGGTGCCAGTTCAAGCCCCAGCTGCTCCACTTCCGATACAGCTTCCTGCTAATGTGCCAGGGAAAGCAGCGACGGTTCATGTGTCCCTGCACCCATGTGGGAAAATCTGGAAGAATCTCTCGGCTCCTGGCTCTGGCTGTTGTAGCCATTTGGGGAGTGAATCGAGCAGATGCAATCTCGTTCTCTCTCCTCACCAAAACCTCCCCTGTAACTCTACGTTTCAAAATAAAACCAATAAAAACTAAATAAATCTCAGGCCTAAATTCATAGTACTGACTTTTCTGAATGTCAGACTACATTTCCTGGGGGCACAATGCCTCCCTTTGGGTGCCTTCTAAGGAACTCAAAGTTAACCTAATCTAATGAACTTGGCTGCCTCTCCCACCCAGAGCCACCCCTGTTCGCCCTTCGTTATTACTGAAAGCTTAGGTACTTCTGTTCCTTCCCCGTTAAAGCCTGGGACACGCTGAGCACACCTTCCACCCCTGTCTCCGTTGCCCTAGTTCAAGTTTGAAATACTTTCCTGCTTCTCCCCATCCTCCTCAAACTCAGTTACCAAGTAACCTCCCTAAAACAGAGATGGGCTCATGACCACTTCCCACCTAGGAGCAGGAAGCCCCCTACGCAGGATCCTGCCGGCTTTACCTGCAGCCCACAATGCCTGCCACAAAACTGGCACTCAAAGATTTGATGAAACGCCTCCAGTAAAATTCCGCTCTTTACTGGGTCACATAAGACTGCGAGGCACCCCGGGGCCCCAGTGCCACCGTAGCCCTCACAATGTCCCTGGTTGTGCCCAGGGCTTGGTCATAAAGCGTCAGTCCCCTCTGAAGCCAGCTGCACGCTCCCTCTGGCTCTGTGGCTGCTGAAGCCACGACCGGCCCTGCCAAGCGGCAGAACTGGTTTTGTTCCTCATTATGTGTGTTCTCCACCGGATGCCAGGGGAGCTGGGGTCAGTGTGCCTAGGCCAGTGTCATGCCCACCAGAGGCATGGTGATGGGAGGATTTGCTGAATGGATCCCTCATCTCCTGGTCCCTGACAAGGGGTGGCAGGTGCACGAAGGTGAAGGGCAAAACAGCGACTGGCCCTGCAGGACTTACTTTCTTTAGCTAAAACAATACCACACAGACGCTGACCGGAGCCACAGCTGTACTGCTCATGCATCCCACAAAATGAACACATAGACCTGACGCCAGCTCCTGAACGAAGAGCCAGAATATTTCCTATCCGTCCCTAGAGGTCTCCCTGCACTCTTGAGGGGCCCTCCCAGCTTCCCCAAAGCCGGAGGGTGCAAGTCCTGGGTCTCCAGGAGAGGATCGGGACCGCTGAGCAAGCCTGACGCGTCTTACCGATAAACTTGAAGCGACTCATGACGGCGGCCACGGCGCCTCCTGGGCGGAAGCGGACGCGCAGGCAGCTGCCCGTCGCCCCGCCCTTCCGGCGCTGTGCCCGCCTCCCTGCCGCAGGCTGCCGGCCGAGGGGACGGCCGCCATGGCGCTGTCGGCCGCCGGGGCCTACCTGACGCACCAGCAGAAGGTGCTGCGGCTCTACAAGCGCGCCCTGCGTCACCTCGAGTCATGGTGCATCCACAGGTGGGAGAGAGGGACGCGGGGCGGCGGGCGGCAGCGCAGGGGCGCAGGCTGCGAGGCCCCGAGGGAGCGGGCGGCTCAAGGACTTTGGGGACGAATGGGTAGGCGGCCGCCTCGCGCATCCCGGAGCCGATCCTGGGGCCTGCGTTCGAATCCCGTATGCGCCGCTTGCAGCGAACTTGAAGGGCAGCCTGAATGGATGAAGGACCCATCGCCCACTAAGCAGTCACCATGCTCAAGGGGCAGTTTTTTGGGGGGGGGGCGGGGGAGGACGTGAAGGCACTTCCAAACGGAAAATAGTAGGTCTGGAGGAGTCTGCAGAGGGTACCCTGGTACCCAGGTTGCAGATTTCCGAATAGAGTTATTGGTGTGTTTGCTTTTGTTAGGCAGGAAGATGACCAGGAACGATGAATAGCTTGTTTTTTTTCCTTGAGTTTTCCTCCTTCATTTATCTGATAGAATTTGCCATTTGGTTTGATACAGGGTGGGCAATTAAAGCTGATAAACCACTTTTTGAGGTGTAACAGCCCTTGAATGAATAGTGAAATGACATGGAAGCTGACAGCATTGAGAATGGTCGGTTTCCTTACAAAAGGCCAGCTGCCAGCGCTTGTCCTTGAGGGCGTGGGGTGCTGGCAGGGCCTCCTGTGCCAGCTCTGCCCACATACAGCGTTCAGACCAGATCTGTGCGGGCCAAGCAGCACTTGCTGTGTCCGCCATGCAATTCTCTCCTCTCCAACCGTGTGTGTCCCGAATTCAGCACAAGACAGGAGATTTTTGACACAGTACTGGATGATCTTACAGGGCTGTGGCTTTTGCCTTTGGCTCATTCTTTTCCTTGTGAAGTTGCCATTTCTTGGTTAGAGGAGAGGAGAACTGGTTAGGCTGGATTTCAATCTGTATTTCTTACTGACACACGATTGCCTATATTTCTAGAGAACAGTGGAATGCCGTGCCTCAGTCTCAGTACATGATGGTGGTGGTCGCTCTGTAACTGCACACAGGGCTTTGTGTTGGGGTGTAACTGTGCACACAGGGCTTTGTGCTGGGGATGTGCAAAGTACTCTCTGCTTGGGGTGGTGCTTGCTTTCAGCGATGGCTGTTCTCCTGTACCATACAACAGAAGTTGTTCCTCCTCCCACTTGCAGCCCCGTGTGCACTGTCTGTCCCCACAGCCCCGTGCCCACTGACCATTCATGCCTGCAGCCCCGTGCCCACTGTCCGTCCCTGCAGCCCCGTGCCCACTGACCATTCATGCCTGCAGCCCTGTGCCCACTGTCCGTCCCTGCAGCCCAGTGCCCACTGATCATTCATCCCTGCAGCCCTGTGCCCACTGATCATTCATCCCTGCAGCCCCGTGCCCGCTGTCCGTCCCTGCAGCCCAGTGCCCACTGACCATTCATCCCTGCAGCCCCGTGCCCACTGATCATTCATCCCTGCAGCCCTGTGCCCACTGTCCGTCCCTGCAGCCCCGTGCCCGCTGATCATTCATGCCTGCAGCCCCATGCCCACTGTCCGTCCCTGCAGCCCAGTGCCCACTAACCATCTGTCCCTGCAGCCCCATGCCCACTGTCCGTCCCTGCAGCCCCATGCCCACTCTGTCCCTGCAGCCCAGTGCCCACTGACTGTCCGTCCCTGCAGCCCCACTGACCGTCCTGCAGCCCCATGCCCATTGACCATCCCTGCAGCCCCATGCCCATTGACCATCCCTGCAGCCCCACTGACCATCCTGCAGCCCCATGCCCATTGACCATCCCTGCAGCCCCACTGACCGTCCTGCAGCCCCATGCCCATTGACCATCCCTGCAGCCCCACTGACCGTCCTGCAGCCCCATGCCCATTGACCATCCCTGCAGCCCCACTGACCGTCCTGCAGCCCCATGCCCATTGACCATCCCTGCAGCCCCACTGACCGTCCTGCAGCCCCGTGCCTGACTGTCCACTGCAGCCCCACTAACCATCTGTCCCTGCAGCCCCATGCCCATTGACCATCCCTGCAGCCCCACTGACCGTCCTGCAGCCCCATGCCCATTGACCATCCCTGCAGCCCCACTGACCATCCTGCAGTGCCATGCCCATTGACCATCCCTGCAGCCCCACTGACTATCCCTGCAGCCCCATGCCCATTGACCATCCCTGCAGCCCCACTGACCGTCCTGCAGCCCCGTGCCTGACTGTCCACTGCAGTCCTCCCAGAGTACAGCCTTGCATTGGACAGTCACTTTGCACTGATGTAGGTTGTAGTCTGATCTCCCACCATTTTGGTTTAAGGGACAAGTACCGGTACTTCGCATGTTTGATGAGAGCGCGGTTTGATGAACACAAGAATGAGAAGGACATGATGAAAGCCACCCAGCTGCTGAAGGAGGCAGAGGAAGAGTTCTGGCGCAGTCAGCACCCCCAGCCGTACATCTTCCCTGACTCTCCTGGGGGCACCTCCTATGAGCGATACGAGTGCTACAAGGTAGGTGACCATCTCCTGGAAGGCAGGTGTGGCTTCCCCAGCCTCTGTCTGCACCGTGCGCCCTGGGCAGGGTAGCATTGTAGGTTCCTTCCTGGCATAGGGCAGCTCCTTTTCCTGAGGTGTTGGCTTCCTCTGCCAGGTCAGGCTGGCTCAGTGAGGCATTCTCCTTCATTTCTCATCCCTGGGTACCTTCTGCTGTTGGCTGCTGGCGTTCCGAAGCAGGCTGATCATTGAAAAGCTTACAGAAGTGCAGTGTGTGGTCTTGGTCTCCTGTGTCCCGGCAGACCCTGTTAGTGACATGCGAATGTGCCTGTGGAGTGAGCCATGGTTTCCTCTCCTGACAGGTTCCAGACTGGTGCCTGGATTATTGGCATCCTTCGGAGAAGGCCATGTATCCTGACTACTTCGCCAAGAGGGAGCAGTGGAAGAAGCTGCAGCAGGAAAGCTGGGGACGAGAGGTATGTGTCCTGGCGCTTGGTGGGCAGCTGGGTCAGCACGGGCCTGCGTGCAGACACCCAGACCCCAGCCTGGCCCTTGGCTTCCCAACCTAACACCTTCTGCCAGCTTAGAGGTGGGACACTGTCTTCCCTACTAGTTAGCCTGTGGTGGTCACTTAGGGTTTTGTTTTTTTTTTAAGATATTTTTTATTTGAAAGGCAAGTTTATATATACATACAGATCTTCCATTTGCTGGTTTACTTCCAAAATAGCCACCATGGCTGGAACTGAGTCAGTCAGGTGCCTTCTGGGTCTCCCACATGGTTGCAGGGGCCCAAGGCCTTGGACCATCCTTCACTGCTTTCCCAGGCCATAAGTGCGGAACTGGATGGGAAGTGGAGCAGCCAGGACATGAATTGGTGCTCATATGGGATGCCTACGCCACAGGTAGAGGTGTAGCATACGCTGCCACGGCATCGGCCCTAGTCAGCTAAATTTTTAAAAACTCAATTTTGCAACATTGCAATGAGTGTGCCAGAGAGCGCCAGGGAAGAGACCGCTTGGGGTTTTTACATTAATTTGGTCAGAAAGTTACAGTAGCTAACACCTCGGTGGAGGAGGTGGATGTGGAAGGAAATCCATCAGGTTGTTTTGAAAGGATGTGAAGAGTGTTTGGATATGATGGGTGTGTGAGGGACAGGGGCACCAGATGCTTTCGAGGTCCTAAGCTTGAACACCTGGAGTTCAATGTTGGCAGTGCGAAAGGGTGGGAAGTCAGACAACCAAGCATTCGGTTTGGGAATGAGAGGTTTCAACATCCTGCAGACGTCAGCAGCAACTTGGTGTAGCAGTCGATCTTGTGTAGAAACAGAAAGGTGCGTGCTTTTCTTTTTTTAGTAAATCCTGGAGGGGCACCAAGTTAGACCAGCACCTGGGCTGCTTTGCCTCGCCTAGTGGGGAGTCTGGGGCCAAGTCCCACCTCCACTCCCGATGTAGCTTCCTGCTAAAGGCACCTGAGGGCAGCAGTGATGGCCTAGTCACTTGGGAAACAAGTGGAGTTCCTGGCTGTTGCAGGCAGTGCAGTGTGGACCAGCAGATAAAAAGTTTCTGTCTCTCTCTCTCTCTGCCACTCTGCCTTGCAAATAAATAACATAAATCTTTAAAATACGTAAGTAAGTCCTGGAAATGTTTGAGCTCCTTAGGAAAGAGTATTAAAAAAGGCGGGGGGGGGGAACTCATCCTCCATTATAACTGGACACAAAACTTTAGGTAAGTATGTTTGGGTTAGAAATTTTGAAATGGACAGACTTCTGTGTTAGCTCCCATTTCGTTAGTTTAAAAAGGAACGACCGGCAGAAGTGGGCACAGTGTGTGTGGAAATGCTGTGATGGCGTCCCCGGAGGAGTTGGTTGGGCCTGGTGACACCAGCTGGTGAGGCAGGCCTGCTGGATGCTAGCTCGTCCCCGTGTTTGTTTTCTGTTTGGTAGCACTAAGCTGTCCCAGTCCCTGCTTGAAGGTCGGTGACAGTGTATCAGTTGTCTAGAGAAGACTGTGTGATTGCCGTGAGGAACCTCAGCTGGGCAACGGCAGGACCAGGAGGTTGATGCATGGGAGTGGGGAGCAAGGGCAGGTGGGCACTGGGGAGTGGACAGGAGTGGGTGATTTGGAAGCTGTGCTGGCCCTGGGATAAGGCCCAGGATGTTGACACCGGAAGTCCGTGAGCGAGGTTGGGGGTCTGCGAAGGACTGTCACAACACTGGGAAGCCTGGAGTGTGGTTACTCCTGGTCGGCAGCAGGCTTGTTCAGCAGTGATCGCTCCGAGCACCCTCCTCCCAAAAGCATGCCTCGGCCCCTCTGTCGCCCCACATCCTTCAGCGGCTCCCACGTTGGGGAGGTCCCTGATGGCTCGGGGGAGCTTCTGTTTCCATTGCCTCCTCTTTGCGTCTCCCAGATCACTAGGAACTGGGAGTAGCTGAGCAACAAACCAGTCAAAACTACGTATTGCTTCCACGCGTGCCTTTGTAACGTGGCACGTTCTAGCTGCTTTACAGTCACTCCCCAGTGTGCCATCCCTGGGTTTGAAGAGCCCAGGCTGAGCCCTGCTAAGTGGACTTAGGGCGATCAGATAGCGGAGACCCTGTTATTGCTTAAAGAGTAAGAGGAAGTGAGGAGAGCTTCTTGTCAGCTTGCGGTCTTAAGGATGGGAAACCTTTTAAGACAGGTGGGCACTGTCTGAGCTGTGAGCTCTGTGAAGCCCATAACCCTTGCCAAGGCAGCTGCAGGTGGGACTCGAACCTCACTGCATCTGTGGTGGGGTGATGTTTATAAAAGCTACACAAGCAGAGAGCTTTCTGTGGCATGCAGATGAGGTTTAAAATGTCCACGTGCCCTGTGGCAGAGGAAAGGTTCTGCACTCCTGCTTGAAGAACGGTTTTCGGAAGAACTGGATGTGTGCAGACATGCTGAGCATCTCACAAGGATGCTGATGGAAGATGTGGACTAACTCCATCTATCCACAGACTTGAAGGAGCCTCATATAAAAGCCCCAACCATGAGGCTCATGTGTTGTGTCAGAAAGTGGCAGCAACAAGATTTCTAGTCAGTTCAACTCCTGGAATAACTTGGCTTTCCTTGTCCCTTCTAGGTTAAGCAGCTGCAGGAGGAAACCCCACCTGGTGGTCCCAAGACAGAAGCTTTGCCCCCTGCCCGGAAGGCAGGGGATTTGCCCCCACTGTGGTGGCATGTTGTGACCAGACCCCGGGAGAGGCCCATGTAGGGGAGACACTGCTCTGGCTCGCAGGTGAAATCAGTTACGGGACGTAGACACACTTGCCCTAATAAAAACAGCTTGGTGACCTGGGATGCCTGACTGTTCTTGGTCTTTGTTGTCCAGTCAGTTGTGCGGCCTGTTGGACGTGATTGTCCTCGGCGCAGCACGTTGACAGCAGGTGTTATCAACAGGGAACAGCTGCAGCCCGCCCAGAGCCAGGGTTGACTGGGAACGCGGAGCTGAACAAGCTCTTCTGAGTGAGCGAGCGGCAGGAATAGACTAAGAAGAAATGCTGAGCACAGGATAGCGTGTAGCTGTTACAGAGGTCCCCTCAGTGGAGTGACAGCTTGCTTTCCGAGGACACCTCCCCGGGAAGCACAGAGCCCACGACAGGCCTGGGGTTTGGAGTTCTCTGGGCTGGAGCTTTGCTCATGGGGGCGGAGGAGTCCAGGCTGAGAATGACTCCATTTGGAAGCAGTTCCCCATCCCTGCTTCCCCAACCCAGGCAGGGGCTGTGGACAGAATTAAGGGCAAGGTTACAGCTGAACTCTTGATGTGCCTCGTAATGGCTTTTACAAGGAGGGAGCAATTTCTAAAAGCCCAACCCAACTGGCCGTGCGCTCAGTCCTTCCTAACTCAAAGGAACTGTCCTCGGCCCAGGCCTCTCCAGCTCCCAACTGGGAGGCTTCCTCCGTCCTCCACCTCTGTACGCAGACTCCAGTGGAAAGGGACTTGACATACAGGGCGTCTTTTTCTAGTTCTTTATTTATGTAGATTGAAGCAACTGTTACAATGTAGAAGGGAGACACGTTACACAACCGTTATTTACACAATTTTCAAACAAAAACCGGCACAGGGAGAGGTCGACTCTCAGTACAAACTAGCAACTAAACCACAATAATTTACCTTGAGAAAGGATTTTTTAAAATTTTTTTTAGCTGTGACACTGCTTTTACAATATGCAAAAACACAAACAGAACTATCCAAGGTGTTTTGTCACATTCTTTTCTACATTGAAATTTGGCAACATTTTATATTAAATTTATTCAGATTATACTAACGTTTAAAAACTAAACAAGTGAAAAGCTGTACCCAGGTACAGTTACATCCATGTGTTTCCAAAGTGTAAAATACCACTCTCATGTCATGTGATCACCGTGCAGCAGCTCCAGCTTGTGCAGAGACCATCCCAAGCATCATATGCACGATGCATCAGCTACTCGTAGTCATCGAGAATGGTGGGCTAAACCACAGGCACTACTGTTGCTTACAGTCTGTAAAAAAGGAGCTTGTTTTTCAAGGAAAAAAAAAAAAAGCTTCGACAGTTTCTAAGCATCATGCCTTTGCTTTGACGCCGTGACGTCCACTGTCCTCGAGCAGTCACAGCAGTGTTGAGTGCTACCATATAGAACGACGACTGTACAGGTGCGCTCCTCGGCCGACGGGATTAAAGCACAGAGGGATGTCACTGAGGATCTGGGCCAACAGAACCCTGGGGTATGCGGGACCCACACATTGCTCTACCGTTGATGTTCAAGGGACTCTTTCCACACCCCTGGCTTCTCCACGTGGGGTCCCTGGACATCTACAAATCTGTTGACTTTAGAGGATGGGCATCAGAAGAAATCAACCGTTCACTTGAAAAAGATAAAAATCCCCTCCCCCCCCAATGATCAAATACAAAGAAACAAAACAGTGTCATGGGCAGAAACTCAATGATGATAAATCAGTCCTTTCTTCAATGTATAGAATAAAGCCAATTAACTGCCATTTGTTTAAACCAAGGTAAGAAAAACAAGCCCCCAGATTGCTAAACACATTGGCAAGTTGCAAGACTCCAAGTTTTTTTTTTTTTTTTTTTTCTCCTAAAATATTTGGGCTTTTCAATGCACCCAGCCTGCTGAGTGCGGTAAAGTAAAAGGCATTGGCTATGTCGAAGAATTCCCTGCTCTCATCTGTGTCCGTGTTTTTTCAACTGCCTTACCCTCTAAGATGTATTTGGATCCCATGAAGGTGAGTACGACAGACAAGGAACAGAGTGGGCCTCTAGGCCTGCCCAGTGGCAGCAGCATGCTGGGGAGCAGAGGTGGGTGCTGGGTGCACTTGGGAGGAATCGTGGGAGAGGAAACGAACACCACAATCCAGTATGGCTTATTCGGATGCATTTACCAGGAAAGCTACTATAGAAGTTCAACAGGATCTGTTGACACTGTGCCCCTCCCCGGCCCTCCCCCCAATCCCAGCAGTCCACCGTCTGCAAGCTTCCTTCACGCAGAGTATTGCTCATCAACTGTGACCCCTGCTCCTGCCCTCCACAACGTGGTGTATCAGGTGAGGATGCCTCCCCAGCCTTAGCCATTTTGTTTGTACATTAAAAGAACTTGAGTTTGCTCCTAAGCTAGACTATTAACGATGCATCTACAAAAAGCTTACAGGGAAAAGAAAAGAGCTGAGTATATGAATTCTTTTCTGAAATTAACTACTTACTGGTTCCCCTGCCCCAACCACCCCCTCCCCTACATGTTGAAAATTTTACAAAGACTTGTAAAAAAGTTAAATGGAATTTGGCACCTTCAGAAAAATCAAAAGGGAAAAAAAAAACCAGATTAAAATGTGCAGAAAGAAAACTGTCAATATTTACAAATTAAAAGATCAAGATTATGTCAGTTACATATGTTGCTTTTAATTCTTATATCTAAAGATGTGGAGTAGTTTCAAAAGAGCTGTATTTTGAGTGGCCTACAAAATACTTTGATTATAGATTGGAATGGATCGAGACAGATAGGGGTTTTCTTCAATTCCAGAGTTTGCCAATCGCAGGCAGCGTCTGCGGCGAGCCCAGGGGCGCCTAGGAGAAGCGAGGGGCCGAGCGGTCGTTGGTGGTGGTCTTCTTCAGCTTGACGCCCCTCCGGATGGCATTCAGCATGTCTTCTCCTTGCGGAGTCTCTCTCGGGCTCAGCTCCGCAGGGTCGCTCTCCGCCCCCTGGCCCGGGGACCCTGCGGCACTGGAGGGCTCCCTCTCCTGGTCTTCAGCGTCACTCTCGGGGATCGCCTGTCTGTGTTCCTCGGGGATGCTGGGCTTCGGGCCGGGGAGTGGGGGGTTGATGGAGGCCTGGCCACTCCACAAGGAGGAGGGCATGGTGGCAACGCCCTGTGGGCCCTCGGCCACTGGCGGTGACTCAGGGCTATGCTCCGTGCGCTCCTCCGGCCCGTCCACGGGGGCATGCAGCACCCCGGGGAGGTCAGGCACGGTAGGGGTTTTGACTGGGATCACAGGCGTCTTGATGGGGATGGGCCCGGCTCCAATGGTGCCCCGGCGGACGGAGGGCTTGGTGGAAGGGGTCCGTCGGATGGTTGCCACCCCTGGGGTGACCATGGCGGGCCCCAGGGTAGTGGGGAGGCCGGCAGTGGAGGCGGGGCGCTTGGCTTGGAACATGCGGCGGTAGGACTGGCTGATGTCGCTGTTTCTGGGGATGGTGGAGGATTTGTCGAACTCCTGCTGCTCGGCCTCCTGGTCGCCGCTTACGGAGAAATAATCGTAATCTGAAACTGATGGCAGGGTTTGGTTAGACACATCCACGGCGGCCGCTCGGCTTTTTGGCTCCTCTGTGAGGGGAGGACAGAAGGCACACGAGGCAGGATACACACACGCTCTGCTCCCAGCCGCCCCAGCAGCCCTTGGAACTCTGGCCGAGGTGCCCGTGCGGTCTGCATCGGGCTGGGGAAGCCTGTACCAAGCCTCCCCCACGGCTCTGGGCCAAACGGGACAACCAAGGAGACCAGCGCTACAGCCCCTCCAGTCCAGAACTCAACGCCGGAGACAAAGCCAGTCACACCGGCATGGGCCTCATTATCTCCCAGGGGCAGAACGGAGCTGGGGGCTACGCTGTGACGTGTGATCCCTGCATCCCTGGGCCGCTCCGAGTCCCAGCTGCTGCTCTTCCCATCCAGCCCCCTGCTAATGTGCCTGGGAAAGCAGTGGAGGATGGCCAAGTGCTTAGGCTCCTGCCATCCACATAGAAAAACAGAATGTAGTTAGTTCTTGGCACCGGCTTTGGTCTGGCTCAGACCTGGTTGAGTGACTAATTTGGGAAATGAATAAGACTTTAGATTTCTCAATTTCCCTCTCCATCTCTCTGTCTTTCAAAATCTGTCTTGTGGGCCCGGCATGGTAGCCTAGCAGTTAAAGCCCTCGCCTTGCATGTGCCAGGATCCCATATGGGCGCCAGTTCTAGTCCTGGTGGCCCCCTTCCCGCCTAGCTCCCTGCTAGTCAAGGATGGTCCAAGGCTTTAGGACCCTGCACCCATGTGGGACCCAGAAGAGTTTCCAGGCTCCTAGCTTCAGATTGGCTCAGCTCCAGCTGTTGAGGCTGCTTGGGGAGCGAACCAGCGGACAGAAGATCTTGCTCTCTGTCTCCCCTCCTCCTCCTCTAACTGTCCAATTAAAAAAAAAATTATTTTTAAAACAAAAATCTGTATGTATTGTGACAATTAGGTGGCAAACCAACTAGCCAGTGCCAAGTGCTGAAACAGAAATTAAGCCATCAGTGTCAGCGGCCTCTGTCCCCGTTCAAGCCAGCGGCCACCAGGCGTGCCATGGTGTCACGAGGACAGCGGCTGAGGTGCACACTGCTCCCTTACCGTGGCAGCCACCGGACAGTCCCAGCTGGTGAGGACAGCTCAAAAGCCCTCTCAGCCGGGGAGCAAGCCTCCGGGCCCCAGGCTGCCCCATACCTTGGGAGGGGATGGTGTCCTCGGAGCAGCACGGCGTGGTGGTCTGGGTGCTGTACCCGCTGGAGCACTGCAGCGAGTCCCGGCTGCTCCTCTGCGTGTCCAGCTGCAGGCCCCGCGACAGGGCAAGGGCCAGCTCCTCACAGGCCTCCATCTCCTCGCCGGACTGCGGGTGCAGCAGGGAGAAACACACAGACAAACCCCCAAGGCCATGAGACCCCTGTGTGAGAGCCCCAGACACCTGCACAAGCATCTGTCTGGGGCCTGGCACTCGCGTGCTGCTCCCGTGAGCACCCACGTGTCAAGGGCCTTGTTTGGGACTTACTCCAAGCCCTATCTATGACTCCCATATAAGCCCCCTGCCACCCCAGGGGTCTTCTAGAGGCTGTAGAGCAGAACAGGGATGCCAGAGCCCCAGGTCCTTCCAAGCTGCCCTGGCCCCCACCAGCAAGCAAAAACACGTCACCCTGGTGGCAGCCGACACGGTCATGCTCCGCGGCCTCTGAGCCTCGTCCACGGCCGCTGGGCCCCCTGCGGTGGCGGGTCCCCCTCCGTTGGTATCTGCCTCACGCTTATCCTTGCGACGCTGCAGCGTGTTCACCAGGGGCTGGTCATAGGGTCCCGGCTTGGCCCAGTCCTGGGCAGAAAGAGTGCAGTCAGCAGCCAGGGCCTCTGCCTGCACCTGGCGGCTGCAGTCCCAGCCCTGCACAGCTGCCCACGGAAGGGCTGGGTCCCAGGGTAAGCTCTACAGGCAGCAGGTGGGCCACCCTCTGGGGAACAGGTGGCCAGTGGTTTAAGTCCTCAGCCACCAGGAGACTGAGCACCTCCTAACACAGGTGGAGGCAGAAGCCCCAGCAGCCAGGTCATTCCTGCTAAGCTGCACTTAAGCAACCCACGTCACCACAGAAGCCACCAGGGGGCACTAGAATAATGCCAGCCACTCTTCCTGTGCTCAACTCTCCACTCAGGGATGCCTGTGGCCTGGAGGGGCACTGGAGGCTGAGCGCCCTCTACAGGCATCAGGTGGGAGAGGCCGGCTCTCAGGGTCAGCGCCCTCTACAGGCGCCAGAAGGGAGATGCAGGCTTTCAGGTTTTGTGAACCATGAAGTCAACATTGGCTGGCAGCTGAAGTCAACACTTTCGAAATTAGAAAAAATGAGTCCACGGAGAGCAGGAACTTGCTAGAAGGCCTTTTTAAACCTGTATCTACACAGAAGCAAGTGTGTGGCAATGTGAAATGATCACAATGGAACGTCTATGCATTTTAAAAACAGGATGCTCCCAAACCTGGCTGTGGCTGTGGCTGTGGCTCTGCTATCCTGGCAGCAGAGAACTCTCTGAGACAATGTGACAGCCTTGGGTGACCCCCAGCAGGACCGACTCAGCAGACTCCATCTGGGGTGCAGAGCTGGGCCCCTGGCCTTGGCCCTCACTGGATCCACTGGCTGTCGGGATGACCCAAGCTCCCTCCCAGCAAACCTCCCAGGATCTTGGCAGCACCAACTGCAGTTTTGTTGTTATCCTCAGTGGGGACTCAGAGAGGGAGAGGCGTTATGGGGAAGAAGGCAGAGCGTGAGAGGGAGAGGGGCAGGAGGGGCATGTCTGGAGGCTGGGGGGTGGGTGGGAAACAGAAGAGAGGTGTGCGGAGGAGGAGAGCGGGGAGAGGCACAAACCTTCCAGCTAGGGATCTGAGATGACGGGAACATGCCGGGCCCAATGGTGTGATAATGAGCGTAGTCTGGAAGGTGGACAGAGGTGACGCGAGGGAGCAGGCGGGAGGCAGGCAGGCAGGGAGGGTAAAGGCCTGCGCCCACGGGCCCCACGTGGGGCTCACTGGACAGACTATAGTGAGAAAGCCCGTTAGACAACTGGAAACGAAACAAAATGGGGGGGGGGAGAAAAGGGGAAAAAATTAATACAACAGGATGGGTGTGGAGATACAAGATGGCGTTGACATTCTGGGGGCGGAGAGAGGGACCTGGTCCTTGGACACGGAAGGCACGCCAGGGCTCGGCATGCAGAGCGGGCCCCAGCAGCACTTGATTGGAATGCTGGAACGGTTTGGAAACAGATGTGCGACTTTTAACTTTGTGGCATCCTCCACAGAAGTGGAGCTCTGAAAAGTACATGGAAAGTGGAATTTGGTAAAAACCAACTCTATTGAGGCATAGATTTTTTTTTTCATGATATCCATTTTTCATGAACTTTCTCAAGACCCACTCTCCCTTGTTATTAAATGAACAGAGTAGAAGCAATTTGTTCATCTTGTGAGTCAAAAAAAATATTTTTTCAAAGCATCCTCCAGCAAATTTGTTCATTTCTAGATTTACAACAAAATATTGATTGTTTGGGAGCAGATTCCAAATCAATCAATCAAGGGTGGGGATGAGGTTTGCGAACTAAAAGGCAGACAGGCACACAGCTTCCGATGCGGTGAAATGGCACATCCAGTGGTTGGGCTGGAAAAGGGCGGGGAGGTGTGGATGAGCAACACAGCACCTATTCTGGGAATGAAGCCTTCACACCTCCAAGTTCCCCATACCCCTCCTCTCCCTCAGGAGTACGGTGCTCAGTGGACAAAGGTCCTCTGTCTGGTCCATTCCCCCATCTTGCTGACCCCATGTTCTTGATGCAGGCTGAGTCTCCAGGTGCCTGGGAGCAGCGCAAAGGGACCACAGTGGCCATGCCCCCGCCGCACGCACACGCACGCACGCGGTCACCTTCTCTGTGGACGCCCAGGCCCCCATGGTGGAGCCTGAGCTCACGGAAGTGGGGGAGCTGCACTCGCTCACTGACTGGCAGGTTTCCGAGGCTTCCGAGGAGGCCGAGCTGGACGAGTTCTGCAGTGGGGGAGGCGCAGGGAAACCACACAAGGGGACCGGACAGAAACCGAACCACACACGGCACCGGAACACAGGAAGAAACCAAAACAACAGCACAGGGCAGGGGAGGGCAGTTACAGAGGGAGAGAGACACAACACAGGAAGAGCAGAGGGTTAGGGTTAGTGCCCTCCCCATCCTGGGAAGCTTCTAGACTTAGCCAGGGAGGCGAATTCATTGGGGCCGCCCCTATCCAGGCAACTGCAGGCAGGATGACACAAAGCCACACCAGGTTTTTAGTTGAGAATCTCCTATAGCTCGCAATAATGTCATACAAGTCCACTGGGGGGAGTCCTGCCAGCCCTGTGGTCATGGGGGTGGGCTCCCAGGGAAGGGGACCCTGTCCCCAGGCCAAAGGCGCCCTGGCCCTGGGAGCGCCTGGTCAACCCATGGGACTGCCAGCCGTGTATACAGCCATGCAGACACTAGCTCAGGAGGCCTGTAGTCTCTAACTGGGACTTCCCGGAAGCTGTCCTGGATTGGAGCCAGCTCCAAGCATCCATCATCCGTGAGAGAGAAGAGTCCCTCCAAAGGGGCCAGTGAGCAGACACCTGCTTGCAGTCCCAGGGCGCAGACCAGGGCTGAAGCACAGGGGCTCTGGATTTAAGTCCCACTTTGCCACTCCCCAGGGAGGCCCTAGGCTCTTGTTGCTTTCTCAATCTCTGTTGCTTTTATTTACTTATTTCTCTCTTGTTTAGGATGGGGAATTGGCAGCAGTGCACCAAAGATAAGAGACTGGGATTGTGGGTGTGTGCTGTGGAGGGGGTACTTCACTGTAAAAACAGTTAGCTATCCTAGCATTACAGTGTCCCAGGACTGTTGATCTCAGCTCCACTAATTCAGGATGTTGAACTTGGAGGAAGACCCAGTAACCCATCCCACACTGTAGGTATACAGGCCTTTGGACTCCTACTTCCTCCCTCCAAGACCTCTTTGTCTCAGGGGGAGCGAGTGGCTCAAGGGTGAGGCTCTCTCCTAAGATATAACCCACTCCAGGGCATGGGACATAGGCAAACTTGAACAGAATAGAGGGGAGGCTTGGTGCCATGGCATAGCTGGGTAAGATTCCACGTGTGGCTCTGGCATCCCATATGGACACTGGTTCGTGTTCTGACTACTCTACTTCTCATCCAGCTCCCTGTTCATGGCCAGGGAAAGCAGCAGAGGACAGCTGAAGCCCTTAGGACTGGGCACCCTCGAGGGAAACCTAGCTTCAGACCAGCCCAGTTCTGGCCACTACAGGAGTGAACTAGCAGAGCGAAGATCTCTGTCTTCCCCTCTCTTTCAAGTAAAGTAAATAAATCTTAACAAACAAACAAAAAATCAGAAGAGAGTAGAGGAGAGGAAAGAGGGCGAGTCTGAAACAGCTCCCACAGGAAGGTTGCACAGGGACGTGCCCACAGGGAAGTGTGGGGGTCCTGTGCCTGGCAGGCTGCGGCTCCGTCCTCTACCCTACTAAAGCTTATGTCACTGCTTCTTCTGGCTGATAAAACTGATATAAGTCCCTCCAATTTCCCATCTACTGTGAAATTACAAGCAGGTATAATGTCTTTATAAAGGAGAGACTTCTCCCTTTAATTCTGCAGCACCCTTGGCTCACTAAAAACATCCTTGAGTTGCAGCCCAGCCTGTCTTGTACATGGGTTTTGAGATTTCAGGAAATGCCACCATTTGTCTTCCCAGGGAATCACTGTGGGCATCCACTCCTGGCTCCTGCCTGCCTCCCACAGTCTGGCTGAGTCACGCCTGCCTCTTGTTTTGTGGGAGAGGATACTGCGTTCACTGACCGGCAAGTTAGCAGCAAGCACAGATCTGGCTGCACCCTAGGACCTGGGCTCGCCCAGCCACGCACACTCTGCTTCGCAAGTAGCAGCGAGGAAGGCTTAGTGAAGCACACGGCAGGGCGACAGGGGACACTCAACACCATCCAAGCACCCAGCTGGAACAAGCACGTTAAAACCGGGCCAAGTCTCCTGGCTCCAAGGGCTTCCACGTGCAAGTCTCTGACCATGGAGGAGCGAGAAGCCGCCGTCCACCTGGATGGTTGGAAAACGCTAGAAGGAGTTCAGAAACCGTCAGCCAACATGACACCGGGCAGGCACCCCAGCAGATGGCGCTGTGGGGTGCATTTCCAAATTAGTGAGTCAAGACACTCCCTGAAGCCTTGTTCAGTTTCCTGCCTCCAACCCAACTGGGCTTGGAAAAGACTCCAGACTGCAAAAGAGGCTCCAGTGATTCCAGCTCAGGCTCATCCCAAATCTGTAACAGGGATGCTGAGAATGCCATAAAGGGGTGTGCCACCCCACCCAAGAGGATGGATGAGGAGGCATTCCCATTGCGCCAGTGCCCGTCAAGGAGAGCCCCGGACTCAGTGGAAATGTGGCCACACCTGTCTCAGGCCATTTGCCCCATCTAAAACTGTACCTTAACCACCATCACCATGGGAGATGGTGGCAAGCCCAACTTACAACATCTGTCCCTTGGGGGAACAGCACGCCAGTGCTTTGTCAAGTTAGGAGATGGGGTCCCGTCCAGGCTGTGGTCTTCTGTGGGCTGCGGTCAGCGCCGTGCTCAGGGCACGAGGAGGCTGCCTCTGGAGCCTGGGGTGTGCTTACCTGGTTGGGAGTCTCCGGCGGCATGGGGGATGGAGACTTGGACTGGAAAGCGTCCTGGGATATAAACCCTGAGTCGTGGGAGGACACGCTGGACAGCCTCACAGGCGCCTGCTGCGTCAGGTTGGAGCTGCGGTAGCGGTAATGCGAGCTGGGCGAGTGGGAGTGGGAGCCACTGGATCTGGAATCACTGCTGTTGACGCTGTTGAGGCTGCTGCGGGTGACAAGCGGAAGGGGGAGCCAGGACAAGGATGCGGGGTGACGGGGAGGAGGAGGAGCAGGAGGACAGACAGGAAACAACGTGCTCAGCTCTCCACCTCAGAGAGGCAGCATAGATCACAGAAGACCTCATTCAGCCAGCCAGTGGAAAGCCAAGGGTGGCCCACTCGGCCATTATTGTCTACCATAAAGCTGGAGGACCAGCTGTTTAGGACACGGAAGTAGACGGCACTAAAGTTTTTTGCTCAATAGATCATAGACACCGTGACCCTGGAGCTAAACCTCTTAAAGTGTCATCATGACCTGGTTGGAATGCCCTTGGATGGGCCAGGCGGTCCAGATGGCTGACCAAGGTCAATACAGCCACCGACAGCTGACAGACATCCCAAGGTGACTGTACCCTGGGTGAGCCTGGCCAAGACTGCTTTATGACATTAGCAAATCAACTCCAAATGTCTGTGCAAGTGTGTCCTAGCATGTACTAAGAAACCTGATGAGGGCTGGTGCTGTGGCGTGCTGTGGTCATCCCATATGGGCACTGGTTCAAGTCCTAGCTGCCTCACTTCCCATGCAGCTCTCAGCCTGGGAAAGCAGAGGATGGCTCAAGTGCTCGGGTCCCTGCATCCACGTGGGAGGCCTGGATGAAGCCCCTGGCCTCAGCCAAGCCCAGCCTTGACTGGGGAGTGAACCAGATGGAAAAGCTCTCCCTTCTTCTGTGCAACTCTATTTTGAAATTAATAAAATAAATTTTATTAGAAAGAAAAAAAATCTGATGCTTCAGTGGCTTTGTCCTGACCCAAGTGTCTCTATTGAAGTATCTATGAGCCTGGCTCACAGCACGCCCAGCACGAGGTGGGCAGCTTTGGGTGCCAGTCTGGTTCCCAACAAGAGGAACAGTAAGCAGGCTGCCAAAAGATGACCACGCCCTGGGGTGTTCTGTCCACTGTTCATCTCCACATTTGAGACATGCACTGTTCCTGCTATGCAGAACTCAAGGTTATTAGCAACTGAACAGGGTGAGACATCAACAAGCCTGTGTGCGGCTCGGCAGTTTGTGGTTTTGTGTTCCTAACCCTCTAGAGAGGGGTATTTGCACACTGTGGCAGCTGACAGCCTGGGGCTGGAGCCTGCTGTGTCACTGTGCCTTGCTGTGTGCAGACATGGCTGAGCGCGCCACAGGCACAGCTGTCATGGTGCTTGCTGATCTCCCAGTCAGCTGAAGGGAGCGTTTGGGGGCCGACAGTGAAACTCAGAATGACACTACTGGACACAACACAATTTTCTACTCATACAAACGCTACAAAGGAAGAGAAGTTTGGGGAGGCTGGGGCGGGGATGGAATATTACTCAGCCATTAAAAAGAATGAAATTATACCATTTGCAACTAGATGGTCCCAACTAGAGACCATTATGCTCAGTGAAATAAGTCAATCCCCAAAAGACAAATATCATATGTTCTTTCTAATATAAGGAAACCATCATGCAAATCAGAATGTACAGTGATGGAATAATAGAGACTACCATGTCCAGATGTGAGCACACAATGTAACATGCATTCCTACTTCCAAATCAAACATGGACTCCCAATGAAACTGTTGGACATATCTAGACAATGGGATGCTGGACAATCTGACACTGTACCAGCAATGTTGGGACACACTTAGACAGAATTATAACTCCTTATGAAGGACTATACTATTATAATATGGGGAAAATCAGCCAGGGGAGTAGAAATTTTTTTTCGGGCGGGTGGGGGGGGAGAGATATCACAGACTATGGAATTGCATCATCAAATTCAAAATTCAAAATAAATATTTAAAGACATGGGGTGGTGTGGAGGATTATCAACTCCAGACACACACAGCCTACAAAAAGATGACAAGAAGCTACCATTTTCAAGGAACAGAACATCAAGACACAGCCGCTGCTGCTATTGCTTTTTTTTTTTTTAAGGTTGTTTCATTTATTTGAAGGAAAGGGTGGCAGACAGGGAGGGAGAGAGAGAAAGAGGAAGAATCTCCTATGTGCTGGTTCACTCTCCAGAGGACCACAACTGTCATGGCTGGATTAGGCAGAACTGACACTCCCATGCGGGATACTACCTGCCTTGCAAGCAGCGACTTCCCCCACTGCAAGGTCACGCCAGCTGCAAGACGCAGCCTCTGAAGCTCCCACACGAGCTCACGTGTGAGACGAGAGATGTGCGCCTTGGGTACCGATGATACCATACACAAACTGCACGGACACATCCCGCTGCCTCTCGCCGGGACTAACTCACAGCAAGCACACGGTCATCCGGCTTTCAAAAAACCCAAGACAGTCACCGGGTTAGTGTTCCAAGAAAGGGGATATACGATGACGCTTTCACCTCTCTAGGGTCGGGGTGCAGGGGGTTAAGCTGTGATGGTTTGAGTCCTGGCTGCTCCACTTCTGATACAGCTCCTGGGAAGGCAGCAGAAGATGCTCTAGGTATTTGGGCTCCTGCGCCGACATGGGAAACCCAGACGGAGCTCTAGGCTCCTGGCTCAGCAAGGCCGAGGCCCGAGGGACTGCTCTGTTCACAGTGAACCAGCCAATGGAAGATCGCTTTCTGTCCTTCATCTCCCTCTCTGACTGTCCTCCTGACTTTCAAATAAATCAATCTTGAAAAACCAAAAAACAAAGACACTTCCCTAGTTAGCAGGCCAAGAATGAAGAATGTTTAATAGAAAACCGCTAGCTTGCAGTCTGCATATGGTAGAAAGAGTTGAAATAGTTCTTTACCAGGGAATGAGATTAATTGACGCAATTGTGGTGGAGGCTGACAAAGTGAGAATTTCATTTACTTTATGAAACCTAAGATAAAAATGGGGGAAATAAGGACATTTCTTCTGGTAACAGTGAGATCAGGTGAGTAAGAACCAACCTGAATTAATTCTGTGGTGGTTTTCGTTCTGCTAAGCAAGAGAATCAAATATGATTCTGTAAAATGGCAAAATCCTTATGGATGCAACTCAGCATGGGCAAACGACATCTACCAGCTTAAGGCTAATGGATTTTTTTTTTCCTAAAATGAATTTTATTTATTAGAGAGACAGACCTTCCATCCATTGGTTCACTCCCCTCATGTCTGAAGCACCTGGAGCCCTGAATGCCATCCATGCAGGCATCCGAGTTCTCTAGCAGCACGTGCTGCTTCGTGTGCCCTTGAGGAACACCCGAACCCCAGCACTAAAATACAGGAGGTGGGACTCCCACACAGCAGAACTGCTGCATCTGTTTTCTGTCTGGTCCAAGATGAGGCAGACACCGAAGAATGAGACCAAGACCATTATACAATCCATCAACAGCTCTCCACCGCCTCAAGGACGGTCCTCTTTCCAAGGACCCATGGAAGAGACGAAGACTGGCCCTGCCACTCACGGTGGCATCAGAGAAATGAGCTGACCCACAGGCTGGAGCAGACCCCAGCTTCACTTACCTGCAGACGCTGGACTTCCTGGACATGGTGGTGCTGGGGGACGAGGGTGGCGTCTGATATGACCAACTGTAGTCAGAACCCTTCAGGTCCAGAATTACCTATGGGGACAGAGGCAGCTGCGTAAGCCACGTGCTCTGAGAAGGGCAACCTTGCTCCTTCTATGGGACCCACCATACCGTCAATATGGGGTGGGGATGGTAGTGGGGTTGGGTGAGAATTAAAGAAAAATCTGGCAAGTTAAAAAAAAAATAGCTTTCTTTCAAATTCAAAGGCCACACACACACCGCCAATCCCCCATAATCCTTTATCAAACACAAGAAAGATGCTAATGAATGGGGAACAGGGAAGAGAAAGCCATGAAATATCAGTCAGGAGAGGAAGAGATCACCCAGCCCCCGACAAACAACCTAGAGAACCATCACACCCAAGATTCCTAGCACCTGGTGACGCTGCATTTTAACTGCTGGATATTCAGCGGTGGCTCGTGCCCCGTTTGACGGGACTAGAAGTCTGAAAGCCCCATAGACTCAAGAGCAAGGCACTGCCTTTTCCCAGGATTTCTGTGTCCTATCGCCCTTGTCTGACCAAGAACCACTTGGCCACCTTCCGTTCCCAGACAGCTATTCATCAGTGCCTATTTACTCGGTGGACGCATGTTGCGCTGTTCTCGTAAGATCAGCTTGCCAACAGGAAAGCCAGGCTTCCAAACCTGCCTTCTGAGCTGCCTCTAAGACGGTGAGAAGAACTGCACCCAAGGGGCTAAAGCCAACATGTGACTCACCGACCATCCCCCTAATGTCTAGTGTCATATGAAGCAAGTGACTAAAGCAGAAAACAAAAGTCATCTAATTCCTAAGACAAGACTGTCACGGATGATTTAATGAGATTGGGAGGAGTGGAGAGTGGATGCCCTGACCACAGCAGCCTGTCATGATCTCGTGTAAGCCTCCTTCTGGGAGGCCGAGGAACCCACTGGTGGAGAGGGCAGATCTGGGAACGTGACAGTTTGGCTCAAATCCCAGCGGCACCGCTTACTGTCTGCATGCGAAGCTCAGGGAGTGACCTCAGCTGTCTGCCTCGAAGGGAAAGAGAGCTTGGAAAAGGGCCCAACACAATGTCCTGGCTAAAGCATGTCCTTGCACTACAACGCGGGGGGGACACGGGGAGACACACGTAGCTCTTAACGCAAGGTACCCACCTGCTCGCTGGAGGACGGCAGCTTATGAGGGTCCATGGTCAAGCTCTTGAGGTCTTCCGAGATGGTCTGCAGGTGGGTAATCTCCCCAAGCATTGAGATTTCTTCTTCCTGAACATCAAGAAGTTGACAAGTATTAGCCTCATGTTGGATTCACCTGGCTGTGCTGACATAGCTGTTTGTATCGGGATCAAAATGTTCACCCCTTGAAGTTTTACAAAGGTACTCTGCAAGACTTCACTGAGAAAAAAAAAGTTTTAATTAAAATGGAATTTTAAATAAAAATCAATCAACCATCACTGTGGCGTGATCCAAGTGGCAGGGAGAGTGGTGGGTGAACACACAGGCCTCCTGGTGGTACCCTCACCCCCTCATGGACTCTCTGGCCCATCCCCTCCACAGGCTGATGCCCTTGCCCCCACGGCAGCTGCTAGGCCTTCACAGCTGACACAGATGTTTTAATGCAGATTCCTAGGCCAGTACTCATATGTGTATGTTCAACAGAAGGTTGGTTAACTTTCTTTCCTTTTTCTTTTTTTTCTTATCATTAACTTAACAAATGGCAAGTAAGTTAGGGGACCAAGTCTAAACGCTTCCACTCAGTCTCCAAAGGCTGCAGCTGGGACTGGGGGTCCTGAGCAAGTGTGATCCATAGAAGAGATCTAACTCAGAGCAGGGACACTCAGGGAAGTGAACTGGTGACAGGTTGTAGTGGAAGCTCTCCACTGCATCGTGCAGTTTCCTTGGGAACTGAGTGGGCCTTGATGCCCTGACGCCCCTGCAGGGCTACTCTCAGCATATCTGCCTTTACTAGTGACATTCAAAACCCCCCACGGGGCTCACCTCAGACCCCGCTGACAGGGTCTTCAGCCCTAGAATTACGCATTTCATGGGCCTGGGTTAGGCCCAGACCCATCTGCCTAGACCACACAGCCTGGGGACCTTTGAGAACCATCGTGCTGGGCCTTATGGGTGTGGAGGGCAAAAGCAGACCACATGTGAACAACACGTGGGATGGGCAGCCATCAGCCCTTGTGCAAGAGAATCCTGGGTCTGCAGAAGCGAGTGCAGCCTCACAGAACCAAAGCCAGCAGCAGATTTCTCAGTGTGCACGGGGGAGTAAGGAGGGACCAGCTGCTCCCCACAGCAGCCCATGTGGGCCACAGTTCCCCACCCACTTACGATCACAGGCCGCAGCATGGAGATGAAGGTGCAGAAGCGGCCGCGCTCCTCGATCAGGGCCTTCCGCACTGCCTGCTTCTCTGTTTCTTCCAACAGCAGGTACTTGTCATTGACGTCCTGCAGTGCGCTGTCTAGCTGGGGCTGGATGTCACCCCTCCCTGCGAACACAACAAACCCCCCACCCCACCATGGCTGTTGAGACCCTCGGTCCCAGGACAACTGCTCCTGCTCGGGTCCTGGCTGGAGAGGAGCCACAGCCTCAACTTCCAGGACTTCAGAAAAGAGAGATTCATTTATACCCAAAAAGGACTTAAGATGGGTGTTTTTCTAGGACCAGACATTTCCAACTGCTCGTGTCCCGAGGGTACATGATTCTGCCTTATTCCACAAAGGGAAACCTCCTGCAGTGACTTCTTGCCAACCAAGCTGGGAGCGCCCCGAGACCCTCATGCAGATGTCCAGAGGCTCAGGGAGGGACAAACAGGGTGAGAGGCCCATGGGACATCTCCCAAAACTGGCCCAACGCTAGCTTTGCAGTCGACTTAGTCAAACAGCCTCTGTCTAGGGAGCTAGTTCTTGCTGCTGCAAAAGGGCCCCTGCAAATTCTTGGCAGCTGCTTTAAGTCCCTAGGGGAGAGTTAGTGCTCCTGCTGCGGGGAAGGGAAAAATGCCCAGGAACAATGAAAACCAAAAGGCTGAAGCTACGTTGGGGGTGACCACTCCAACCATCATTCTAGAAGGTGACCAATCATTACTCCCTTAAATGACCAGAACATCTGCACGCTGTGTTTGCAAATACAGCTTTACGAGGAACTGGCCACGTCCAGCTGTATCCACTCTGTACACCCGTTCTTGCTGCCTCGGCACAGAAGGGTACTTGTGACACCAACTTGGCAGCCCCCAAAACAAGAAGCTTGGACCCTTCGCAGAGGCAGCACGCTGGGCTGGAAGACCAACAAGAGCTAACAGGCTCCACGGGAGATGGAGCAGCGACAGCAGGTGACCACGGGAGAGACCAGCTCGACACACAGATGTCTTAACAAGCTCCTAGGAAGGCCAGAAACTCCATGTGCCTGCGTCCCCCTGAACACACACACCACGTGAACAACTGTGCTGGAATCCCAACAGTGACTCCACACAGACAACCTGAGAAGTTTCAGCAGATTTTCACGGTGACCTGCTCACCCCCTTCTCCCATCTGGCTACCACCCATCTCCTAGGAGGACTCTTCCCCACTTGTTCCATTTCTTCTCAAGGATGTAGAGTGAAGGAAAACACTTCTCCATTCCCCCTCCCCAGCTTTAACCTGGCCACCTGAGCTACTGATTTCCCAGACTACTGTGCTTTAGGGTTTATTTTTAAATTTGTATTTAAAAGGCAAAATTGCAGAGAGCAGGAGAGAATCTTTCATCAGTAGTTCATTTCACAACAGCTGAAGCTCAATAAATCTGAAAAATCAGGAGCTTCTGGGTCTCCCAGGTGGGTATAGGGGTCCAAGCACTTGAGCCACGCCCCGCAACTGTCCCAGGCCATTAACAGGTAACCTGATTGGAAATGGCGCAGCTGAGACTCGAACTGGCACCCATAGGGGATGCCAGTGCTGCACGCTGGGGATTAGCTAAGCAGACCATGGTGCTGGCCCCTGGTCTCTCAAGTTTTACTTCTCAGCAATGTTACCAAAGATTTCTCCCATTTCTTGGGGGGATTTGCCCAGCTCCTGTGGCCATGAGCTCACAGGGTAAAAAGAACTGGGCATCACCAGTGCTAGAAAAACTGTAGGCCTTATCATTTGTTTAAAAATGTGCTGTATGTGTACATACATGGCAGAGCTCTTGTACTCTGTAAACACCACCCCTTAGCCCCACCTGTGGTCCACCGCAGGGACCATGTGGCTTAGGGCTGGTCTAGAGGCCCTTTAATCTCCCACATTCTGGAATGATATTCCTATAAAACAAATCAACATGGGGGAGGAGGGACTGGCATGGTGGTGTCCAAGACTAATCCGCTGTGGTGTCGTTCATGTCCCAGCTGCTCCATGTCCAACCCAGCTTCCTGCTTCTGGCCTGGGAAAGCAGTCAACGATTGCCCAGATTCTTGGGACCCTGCACCTGCGTGGGAGACCCAGAAGAAGCTCCTGGCTCCTGGCTTCGGTTCAGCTCCAAGTGTTGTGGCCATCTGGGGAGTGAATCAGCAGATGGAAAATCTCTACCCCCCCCCCGCCCCGTGTAAAATCTGCCTGTTGGATAGTAATAAATCAATCTTTTCAAAAACAAACATGGAGGGCTCCAGACCCAATCAGCACGCTCTAACTTTAGGGGAGATAGCAAATTAAAACTCTGGTCTGAACTTGCTTGGATATGCTTCAATAAAGATAGTGATTTAAAAAAAAAAAAAAACAATAGCTTCTAATGATAAAAAGAGAATGTCATGCTTTTACTTCCATGCACAAATTGAAAGCCACGTATCTACCTGAAATTAATCACACTGACTTTAAAAACTGTATCCACATAGAGAAGCAAAATGAATAGAACCAAGAGTTATCTGATTTGGTAAATACAAATATAATCCATTCCATGGTGAAAGCAAAGCTTTTAAACTATGTATTATGTTATCATTAAAAGATGTTCAAATTGTAGTGCACTAAAAATAAGTATAAACTGTAAAGATTACCACAGTGAGAAAATTTCCATTGTGGATATATCATAACTCAAAAATGTAACATTTATTCCCTAAATTCACTAGCACTCACTAACATAACATATAATTATATTTATGTTGAAATAAGCAACTGGAGAAATTATTCCGTGTCCCAGAAGGATGTAATGGTTTTAAGACTCTGTATGCCCAGAGTTGTACTGGCACTGATTTTACTCAGTCACCCCTTAGTATTCCTGGGGAGGGGACTGGAGCCAGGGGACTCCTGGAGACACTAAAATCCTTGGGTGTTCAAGTCCACATAAGAACCATATGCACTTCCTCATATACCCTTAAAGCACCTCCAGATTCCACACAATACCGGTGAGACACCAATGTAATTAGATACTGAGTGACAAGGTCTGCCCACATTGACAGCGGATGGCATGCCTCTTGGGACACCCACCTCCCAATGGCAGTGCCTGGCCTCAAGTCCCACTTCTGCTTTCAATTCCAGCTTCCTGCTAAATAAAGCACATTCCAGGTGGCTCAAGTACTAGAGCCCTCCACCCATGGGGAGATACCCAGATTAAACATTTCTTCAGCCTGTCCCAGCTCTAGGAGTTGTGAGCAATTAGGGAATGAAATAGTGGATCAAAGTTCATTCTCTTGGGCCCAGGGCGGTGGCCCAGCGGCTAAAGTCCTCACCTTGAATGCACTGGGATCCCATATGGGTGCTGGTTCTAATCCCGGCAGCCCTGCTTCCCAACCAGCTCCCTGCTTGTGGCCTGGGAAAGCAGTCAAGAACAGCCCAGAGTCTTGGGACCCTGCACGCACATGGGAGATCCAGAAGAGGCTCTGGGCTCCTGGCTTTGGATCAGCTCAGCTCCTGCTGTTGTGGCCATTTGGGGAGTGAATCAATGGATGGAAGATCTGTCTCTCTTCTCTGTATATCTGACTTTTCAATAAAAATAAATAATTTTTTTTAAAGTTCATTCCCTCTTTTAAAATAAGCAAATAAAATTCCAGACACAAGTAGCTCTCAACAGATCCTAAGACTGGCTGGCTGAGTCTGCTGATACCGAACCGGAGGCCTCAGGGAACCAAGGTACAGGACCCCATCCATTTTCCTCCAATCAGCTCTGTCACTGCGGACTCCCCCAGTGCAGGAGCAGGCCTTTCCTGTTCCCACACTGACTTGGCACCATCCTCTTCCATCACCTCCAGCCACACTGAGCTATGGTTTGACCACAGCTGCAGAGTACCCCCGCTGGGCTCCAGGTATCAAAATCTCACTTTCACCAGGAGATGGAGGGAGACACTTGTAAGGTGGCTGGAGTCAGGTAAGATCACTGGGATGGAGCCCTTTGGATCCTGGTGGCTGGGTTACCAGGACCCTACCCTGATGAGACACAAACATACACCCATGGGCTTCCTGTCGCTTGCCACGTGATTCTCTGCACCATGCTGGAAATCCGCAGCAGAGGGCTCCAGACCGCAGTCTTCCAGAACCATTAGCTAAAGTAGGTCTCCTTCCTTGATTAGTTAGCTGGCCTCAGGGATTTGGCTAGTTACAAAAAAACGATGGCGATACATCAGGCCTCCAAGCTCACTCACCTGGACATATACACTGGTCCCTAGCGTGTTACCAAGACCAGCTCAGCCCAGAGCACCCCGAATTGCTTTCAACAGGCAGATGTTGTCACTCAAATCCCCAAGGTTTCAAGTAATGACCAGTGTCCTTGCTGTGGACTTCTACCTCACAGTCCCAGCCTTCTTGGACCACTCTCTCATCTCTCTTTCCTCCTCCAGGGCCTGGGACCACAACACCATCTCCCCAGACACACACTCACTCTATCCCTACTTCCGCCAGCCTGTTCATCATGCAGGTCTTGGCTCATCCTGCACCATTTGGGGGAAGCCTTCCTTGACTCTTGCCAGATTAGGATGGTCTTGCTTGATCTCAGAAGTTCCTTATACTTAAATCTTCACAGCCCTCTGCCCACCACCACCCCAGTTCAAATTCCACCATCCTGTCTCTAGTGATATGACTGAGGCAGACACCATTTTTGCTCAGGGTGGTCTCTGCTGACACCTGCTTGGAAGACAGCAGGGACTCGAATATTTGCAAGTAAACGCCGCCCTGCATTTGCTCACTGGCCTCAACTCCCATGACCTTAAACAGCCCCAGTACATTCCAGCACCCGCAGAAGCCAAGGCAGGGAGGACTGAGATGCCTTAGATGGGCTTTCCAGACAAATTCCTGAGCACAGAATTACTTTTGGCATTTTCTGTGAAATCTAAATCATCTTCAGCCTTGAGGGCTTTTTCCCCAGGTGTCCATTGTATTCACATCAGAATTCGATGCCAGGAGATTTCAAGGGCCAGCAGTCCCCAGGGTGGAAATCTTATGACTGTTCTCTTTGCAAAAAGTGCTCCTGGGGCAAGCAGTGTGAATGGGCACCATGCCCTGGGCCAAGGCAGCATTCCTCACAGAGGAAGGAATGCCTTTTAAAAAAAATCAA